GGAGGAGGAGGAGGAGGAGGAGGAGGAGGAGGAGGAGGAGGAGGACCACGCCGACGTCGGAGTTGTGGGCCCAAGGCGTCCACGTCCACCGCCACTGGCCAGGCCCCTCCTGGGCCCAGCAGTGGTGCACAGGCCTCCCTGGCCAGGCCAGGGGGGCGCGGGCACCCGGGCTCCGGATGGGCCTGGCCAGTGGCTGGGGGGCCCCCAAACGGAGTGGTGCCCGCACCGTTTGGTGAGTCGGGGTCACCGCACGGTTTTGGGACCCGGGTCGTTCTCCGAGGACGTCTCGGGCGGCTGGGGCATCCGAGGTCCCAAAACCGTGCGGTGCACGGTCTGTCACCGCACCGTTTCGGGACCCCAAACTTTGGTGGGGTTGACCGTTTCCCTTCCTGTTGCTCTTCTTGCTTTTCTTCTCCCACAACGCCGTGGCGGACAGAAGAAGCGACGGAAGGACTACGTCGCAAGCCAGTGGGCTGAGGCCCTCCCGCGCCGTCCTGCCCAGGGCCAGATCCCCGGATCCGGCGGCAGCGCGCCCTGCCTTGCCTTGCCTCTCCCCTTGCAGGGCCCACCTCGATCCGATCGATCCGATTCGACATCGATCTCTGCCGACCCGATCTGGTGCGAGTCTGGTTCCCCGGCGATGCGCTGCGGCCCGACGCCAGCCAGCATGGCGCTGTTGTGCATCTTGGCGCAGCCGATCCGACGCCATGTCCACTCCGTGGAGCGTGTTTCTTTCTTGCTTGGGGCATAACGGGCACTATATCCCCCGGCCCCTCCCTCCCCCCCCCTATACAACGCCCCTCCCCCCCCCCGTGCGCTCCGGGCACTGCCGCCGTGCGCACGGCGGGGGGAGGCGATTATACCCCCCTCTGGCCCCTCCCCCGCCTATAATGCCCATTATCGCCGAACATAAGGAAACCCGCTCGTGCCGATGAAGCCAGATTCGATGACCAATCCGATCTGGGCCGATGTCCCGATCCGATGAGGACCGCTCCCGCTGGCCTCCCTCCTGCCGCCATGGGGGGGGGGTTCCGTGCCGCTCTCCGGCGTCCTCCCCTGCAGTCGACCCGCATACAGTGGAGACCCATGCCAAGAAACACCCTGCATGCCTCCAGGGTTCCCCTTTGTTTCTTGGGTTTCGATGGTTTTGCGGTGGAAAGCGCAACGTTCCCACACCAAAGATCAACGGACGTCCCTGGGGTCTCAGGGTTGGGTTTCTTGTGGAATGTTTCTTGTGGTCGGGCCCCTACTGTAGTGCGGATGAGCAATTTTCCAAGGTTACCCTTGCATCCTTGCCCCTTCGGCCCATCCCTGGCAGCTTTCGCTGGCCAGCCCCACTGGAAAAACGTCAACATGGCCTTCCAGGGCACTTGCCTGCATTCTCACCGCGCATCCTTACTGTGCGTGTTGACTGTGCCGACTGCGTACAAGTTCTCCCCCTTGTCGAGATTGCTTCTTGGGCGGCAGCCCGAGATAGCCGCTGCCGCGTCGATCGCCTGGGCCGCCAAGAGGGAGGTGACGGCGCTACATCGCTGCGGGTGCTCTGGCGCCCCAGGCGGCTGCTGCTGCTGCGGAGAAGGAGGAGGAGGGCTGTAGCTTGGCTCCCCGATCTTCCCTCGCCCTCCTTTCCAGCTCCTGCTCCGACCCCTCCTCCTTCCCCTCCCCCTCCTCCTCCTCCTGCTCCTGCTCCTCCTCCTCCTCCTTCAAATCCCCCCTGGCCCCCTCCTCCTCTGCGCCTTCCTCCCCTCCTCGCCCTCCTCCTCGTCCTCCCTCGCCTCGTCGTCGTCGTCGTCCTCCTCCTCCTCCTCCTCCTCCGACTCTTTTCCTCCCTCCTCCTGCTCCTGCTCCGCCAAATCTGCTCTCCCGCGCCTCTTCCGCCGCTCCTCCTCCTCCCCCTCTGTTTCCCTCTCCCTCCCCTCCGCCCCTCGAAAGCCTTTGCAACCTCCGCCCCCCGCCCCCGCCCCCGCCCCCAGGGCCAGGCCCGCCGTGCCTGCGCTGCCCAGCCTGTCTCCGGAGAACCTGCGGAAGGAGGCGACCAGAGGCGGCCTCGGGGTGGGGGGCCCGTCGAGGAGAAGGGGTAGAAGGAGGAGAAGAAGGAGGAATCCGCACCCGCCCGTCCTGTACTGTCCGAGGAGGTGAGTCAGGGGCAGGTCAGAGCAGTCAGGTTTCAGTCGAGGCGCCCGCGGGCGCCTGTGTGATGACGTTTGGGATTCCGCTCTCTCGAGGAGTCCTCAGCCGTTTGGGTTCAAGCAAGTTCTAGACGCTCCGCGTAGCCCCACTGGCCCATCCAGAAACGACGCTCAGGGCGAGTTGCCCTGATCGGGCATGTGGGCGAGCACGCCGCAGAGTAATGGCTGGGAAGCCGTCGTGCCTCACGAGGCGGAGGATGGAGGAGGAGACCCAGAGGGGAGGCCCAGGAGGAGGAGGAGGAGGAGGAGGAGGAGGAGGAGGAGGAGGAGGAGGAGGAGGAGGAGGATGAGGAGAGGCGAGGAGGGGCGGG